ACCTCATATAGCCTGCAAGGACCCTTAAAATTTATCATTGGGGTCACCTGGACTCCCATTTTTGTAAGTCAAGGTAAAACCCTGAGATATAATGCAATGTTGGACCCAGCAGACAGGGAACAGGCACTTATTTGTTTGTTTGTTTGTTTTTTAACGTCGCACTCAGTAATATTAAAGCTATATGACGGAGGTCTGTAAATTATCAAGCCTGGACCAGACAATCCAGTGATTGACATCATGAACATTGATCCACGCAATTGGGATATGACGACATGCATCAATCAAATTAGCGAGCCTGTCCACCCAATCCCGTTAGTCGCCTCTTACGACAAGCACTATCAAGCATGGGTTGCTGAAGACCTATTCTACCCTGGATCTAACACGCACTTAACACATGTACTATATAACAGTGTATGACATCAAGAGGATTCGTGGGTCCTTGAGGTCTTCTAAATATATTTGAATCCAGCATGTCTAGAGACCACCTTCTAACACTGGGTCATATGTTGGCTGTGCAATGCTGCATTCTGCAATATTCAACCCATGTGATCGTGACCTGTAAATAATCAAGTCTGGACCAAATAAACCAGTGACTGATACAATAAAAAACAATCAACCATATGGTCCAGTGACACACAACCACGGTGCAGAGTCTGGTCATCCAATACATTCATAAACTCACCTTTTATGGGCATAGGTTGCATAGGTTGCTGAGGATCTATACAAATAATTTCTAACCTGGAATTCCTGTGAGGCAACCTTTGACAAGGACCCCTTGACTTTCATGCTTAATTTCAAATACTGTATACATAAGCATGGTATAAACTAGAGCTGAGTATCGCCTGGTATCTTGCGATATGATACTATCATGATACAGACTACGATACTACTGGTATCACGATACACCACATCAAATAGTATGAAATGATTAAGTCACTTAATTACATCTCTAAACCTCTTTCTGCATACATTTATCTCAAAAACTCTAACAAAGAAAACCACAAGAAGAAAACAGTCTTAAACACATGTTAAAAGAGTGAGTGAGTGTGGATGGTTTAACGCCGCTTTTAGCAATATTCCAGCAATATCACGGCAATGGACACCAGAAGTGGGCTTCACACTTTGTACCCATGCCGGGAATCAAACCTGGGTCTTCGGCATGATGAGCGAACACTTTAACCACTAGACTACCCAGCCACCCCAAGTCTTAAAAGAAGGGATGCAGAGCTCCAGATAAGCTTTTGGTGTTGTGGGTATTTTACCCATGCATTTTAAAATCATTGGGTATCATTAATTCTATCTGCGTATTCAAATTTCTGTTACTGACTAGTTTTTACACATGTGGGTATTTAAGTTAAATATTTAAAAACACTATTCATCTAGTCCCTGCAAACTGGTGTCGTGTGGGTTCGAGAGCTTTATAGGACTCAAAAATACCACGATACTTCCACAAGAAAGTGTGATGGCAAATGATCATGATCTGACAAGGTTGACGGAATGCCAACTTATAATTTCATAATAAGTTGCTCATTTGCTAATCGAATACGCAGGGTTACTTCACAATATTTTGATGATACGCACAAGTTTTATTTTTGTAGCGTATCCGTAATGTTCGTTGCGTATTTGATAGGCTTGGATTATATTTTACTGCGTATTTCTGATGCGTATTTCACGCAGATACGCAGCTTATCTGGAGCTCTGAGGGATGGTTCTTAAATGTAATAGTTAGTAGGCTAGTCCTCAGCCACCACGTCCTCGTGTTCTGCCATGGTTCCAGGTGGCACAATGATACTCTGCTATTGAGGGAGGTAACTCTCAGTGATTGCATTGGTCTCCACAATACGTGGGTCTCATGGATGCTGCAGCCACGAGCGCCGCAGGCGCTAGGCTATCTAGGAGGGTTTGGGTGCATTCCCCCCAAGATATATTTCAAATGTAGACCCAAATTGGTGTGTTTTAAGCCACTCTGAGCATAAATAAAGTGTCTGGTTTAAATCCTTAAGTGTCTGTTTTATTTGTGTATCACATGAATTTTGTGAGGTAAGAGAAACCTAAAACAAAACAACAACGTGTTATGCGAAAAGTAAACTTTTAATAAAATGAAAAACGTGTAAGGGGATGTGTGAAGGTTTTGGTTTCTTTACATCCCAGTTTTTTTCAGTGTATATTTTTATATGTGGGACACCGTAAACTCAAACTCTGACTATTAGTTCCTGTTCTATTTATAGTGTATCCTGATCCCACAAGCTGACAATTCAGTGTCGTGTGTACCGAAGTATCCATGAATCGTTACCGCCCTAGTGTAAACATGATAAAACAATTTTCTCCTTACCTTTCGACTATCTCTTGTGGACTGTTTGTATCGATGCCACCGACATCCCAGCATCCCCGTCATACAGACGAGGCAATAGTTGTGCCGGTAGTACTGGAGTTTGGCGTGGCTTACTAGTTTGCCTTTCATTATGGGTGATCAGGCGACACAGACTTGTTGGGGTGTGGCTCACACAGGCAATATCACAGACGTAAGGCATTGAGGCAGGTGGGAGACACAGCCTCACGACATCTGCAGACAGACAACAACATACCATGAATGAGGAGATCCTGTTTTACACTGAGTCAACAATAATTCCGGTATATCATGACGTCCTTTAGGTGATAGTGTCTGGGTCTGGTAATCCAGTGGCTGACAGCATGAGCAACAATCCTGTTTAACGTCAGTCAGCAATATTTCAGCCATATCTGATTAGCTTGTTAAGTCTGGGCAATCAGTGATTGATATGATGATACACAAACAGCAAATTAGTCACCTAATCGGATCACCAAGTTAAAATTGTTCACCTCTTGTGACCAGCTATGCAGATCGAGTGCTGGCGACCTATTCTTAACACAGACATGTCCCTGTGAGCAATGGTGAGCCATGAGCTAAGAATAACTATGAGATATTGTCACATTTAATGTAAAACATCAAGATACATACCACCATATAAGTAGCATCAAACACACACTGCACCATAGGTTTCGGTAAATGCATGTGTACTCAACTAATTTAAAAGAAACAGTCTTTAAACACATACATTGATACCGGTCATTATATAGTCAGCATGGATGTTGTTTGTTTGTTTTTATATTTGTTTTTTAACGCCGCACTCAGCAATATTCCAGATAAATGACAGCGGTCTATAAATAATCGAGTCTGGACCAGAAAATCTAATTATTGACACCATGAGCATAGATCCACACATTTGAGATGCGAATACATGCATCAACCAAATCAGAGAGCCTGACCTGCTAGTCGCCTCTTACGACAAGCACGGGTTGCTGAAGACGTACTCTAACCCGGGTGGCATGGACGCCTACAGAGATCCTATTATTTGTTTACAAATTACAAATCATTGAACATTTGGTTTCAGTTTGTTAAAACGGCTCTCAGCAAAATTCCTACAATAATCAAGCTCTGACAAGACAATCCCGTGATCAATATTGTAAGCAACAATCCATGTAGCCGGGTACAATGACACCAATAAACCAAGTCACCAAGCCTGACCATCCCATCCATTTAGTCCACTTACGACCAGCACAGGTTCAGCTACAGACATTGGCACTTGTCTCATAATCCCTGCCAAACTGGCCAATAGTTAAGGTTTCATAAGGACAAGTACAAATTTGCCATATTTAGGGCTTGCCAAGTGTTATAATTCTAAGGACTAAAACAGTCTATACTGAGGGACCAAATATACCCGGAATATCGACGAGCCTTAGGCCTACCGAAACAACAATGAATCAGCGTAAAATACTAGGTATCTCTTATCTGGGCCTTGGAATACACAGTTGCGACAGGAATCCTAGTGAACTAAGTCATATTATATTTAGTCTCACAGTCACGTTATGAGTGGCGCGTGGTTGACAAGGCTCCTCGTACGATACTCGCTGCACAACAATGACATTGACAGGTGGAACACATTTCGGAGATGTAAAACGAATGTCTATGTTTCAAGGACCTTAGATTATTTAATGAGATTAAAATGGTGAATTAACAAATGTATGGCCGTCTGGTCACCTTACAATTTTTTCAACACAGTTTCCTGAAATAAACAGAATGTGACTTACCACACGAGCACAACTCACACAAACACAGCGGGTCGCCATGTTGGAATGTCGTTGAGGTCAGAGGTCACGTCATGACAAGTGCTTGAATAGAAAACCACGGACGCAAAGGATACGGACAATGACACTCAAAACCACAAGTTTTTATACACATATTACAATCACGAAGCTTGCTTTAAAATTTAAGGTTCGACAGTTATCTTAATCTGTGTTATTTCACGAAACAAACTATGCATGCGAAAGAATTAAGAAAAGACAATGGCGAAACCGGTAATAGTCTCTGAAGAAACGAAACAGAAATCCCTACTTTTTACACAACATGTGATTAAAAGATAAACATAAAAGAAAGATTATCAAACAGGAAATATATTTTTTATATATCCTGGTTTGATAGTATTTCTATATTTTTGTATAATCAGAATAATTCACGTTTATTCTTTTTTTCCACCTTTATTTTAATTTATATAATACATTTTTAAAGGAAATTACCGAATAAAATTAAACGAATATAACAACAGCCACATATTTTGTCAAATCATTCTTTTGCTTTCAGCATGCATGTTAAAAAAAATTACTTTTTAAAGACAAAATAGTTTGTAATTTTAAGGTATTGATGAAATTCATTATCTGCGTCCCATGTTTTCTTCATCTTCTTGTATTGTACACAAAACATATTACAACTTAAAATAAATAAATATGAAATATACTATTTACACAAACATGTTTACTAACTTCATACCTAAATAATATGAACTCATCTTATAAAATGTCACAGTTTAATATAATCATTCACAAAACATTCTGATATGATTTTACTTAATTGTAACTCCACATTCGGGGGTGATTCACAAGTAAGCCCAAACCACACAACCCTAAGCGAGCAAAGTGACTGCTCGTTCCACGCAGCGTGCCGATATAAGCTTCAGAGCGGTAGCGAGTTTGTTTACCATTCGCACAAAGCAAGCAAGAGCTGCTTCAACGACATTTCCAGAGTAAATCGCCAAAGGAATTCGGCCACTGTCTGTGAAAGCATTGGTATGTATTGGAAAAGGATTGATTCTCACGTGAATATTGTAGTTAAGCGTTATAAGCATTGCTGGTGTGTCGATCAATGGCTGTTGCCAGTGCTCACGAGCATTTCGCTCGAGGCCCTAGTTGACCTACTTTTAGAAACAGTACGGTTCCTTTACATCATATATAACTATAAAGACTCCGTAACAACAGCTGTGAGATGTGCCTTTGAAACGGATATTCCCGAAGAAAGACGCGGTCGTTTAATTACATTGTTACGTAATTATATTGTTTGTAACCATATCGCCACCAAAGCTCTTTGTTGGGTCACCGTGACCGGCACAGCAATGAGGCCCTATCAGGGTTGAACATACGTGTAGGTATGAGGTTCAGTTCGTTTATTCTGGAGTGACAATTTTTAGTGGTGTTTACCTTTTGGCCCCGCAATAATTCACTTATTTGTAAAGACAAGATAGTTTATGGATAACTACGTCTTTATTCTATGATGATGCGACGTTTCGGTATAGACCCTTATACCGTGTTCAAGCAAAGAGTGAAGTTGTTTGTTTTGTTTGTTTGTTTGTTGTTTAACGCCACACTCAGCAATATTCCAGCTGTATGACGGCGAGTGAAATAAGACAGCACAGTATAGAATTATATCTAACAAGTCAATGCCCCATAAACGTCAGAATAAAAGAACATAAAACATCTACCACCAAGGTAGATCGAAAATCAGCCATCTGAGACAAAATCACCAACTGCCCCAATCACAATATCATGTGGGACAACGTACACATCCTATGAAACAATCTGATAAGGATTTATGCCGAAACGTCGCATCAAAATAGAATAAAGAAATTGTCATCCATAAAATATCTTGTCTTTACTGTCACATACCAATTTCTAAAAAAAAATTAAAAAATTCTTAAACAGTTCATTCATTTATTTTCTCAGGAAACCATAATGAAACAGTTTCATAAATGTCTGGCGTGACAGCTCCAAGCAGCTTCCCGAGGCAAGGGAGTTAACTGATTATAAAAGGTAAGACTTGATTTTTGCAGTCAGTTGACTCCCTTGCCTCGGGAAGATGGCTCCAAGTTGCCGTTTGATTATAAAGAAGTCGAGTTAGTATAGAAGGACCCGCGAAGATTCCGGGGTAGAATAGGTCTTCAGCAACCCATGCTTGCCGTAAAAGGCGACTATGCTTGTCGTAAAAGGCGACTAACGGGATCGGGTGGTCAGGCTCGCTGACTTGGTTGATGCATGTCATCGATCCCAATTACGTGGATCGATGCTCATGATATCAATTACTGGATTGTCTGGTCCAGACTCGGTTATTTACAGACCGCCGTCATATAGCCGGAATATTGCTGAGTGCGGCGTTAAACAACAAAGCAACCAAAAACCAACTAGTATAGAAGAACATAGAGTTAGTACCTGATATGTTTGGTGTAAAGCTAAGTTGAGTTGTTTGTTTCATGATGGACAATGGTGACGTTGCAAATATTTTTTTTATGCATTTGGGGATTTGGATTTCATGTATTGTTATGATATTCTAGTTAGTGTCCGCGAAGTTCCCCATATACGCCATGCAAACATTAAATCTTGTAGGGTACAGAAGTGACATTTTGCAACATAAACACAATCTAGCGCTAGTTTTGTGAATAATCATTTTATCTATTTTTGGCTAATTATACGGACGAATTGTGAAAATTAGAGTCTCTTATAAAAAATAATGTATTAAGACTGTGTTTGTTTGTTGTTTAACGCCGCACTCGGGAATATTCCAGCAAAATGAGGCGGTTTGTAAATAATCGAGTCTGTACCAGACAATCCAGTGATTGATAGGTTTCTGGGGACCTAATGTAACCCGGACTCCTCACGGGATGATTAACAATACGATGATATCAATGACTGTGACAATCGTCAGTATGGAACTACAGTAAACTACGTTTATAACGAACACGCTTATAACGAACTTACCGATGTAACGAACTTATTTTTAGTCCCGGCCATTTGTTGTATATATGCTGAATATATGCTTATGCCGAACTACGGTTATTACCAACTAAAATTAGTGGTCCCTTTGAGTTCGTTATAACCGTAGTTTACTGTACTGTTCTTTTTATTTTAGTTATTCTTTCACGTACTTGTCTTGTGTTGACATGTGTCAAATTTGAACATAATCTTGAATGATAAATCTTAAGTTTGTATTTTCTGACTTCAGGTATACCTATACTTGGGAAGGCCGGTTACCATGGCGATGAAACCGGAACCAATGGAGCTTGAAGGAGAGGAGACCTCGAGGCCAAATCAGGGGTCCGTCTTTCCCATGCAGCTAATTCAGAATGAAACCCTTAACGATAGAACGCTTCACACAGAGCAGAACAACCCACTTGCCACGGCCGGAGACATCAACAACGACATTGACGCCATCATTGCATCTACGTCAGGGAGCTTCTTACAGAACGCTAACCTCGACCATCAGTTTGAGGAAACCCTTGAGATGAAACCCGTACACGAGAAACATCACAGTGCAGTGTCTGAGATACTACTGGGAAGAGAACAGGGGCATCCGGGGGCACGGGGCAAGCATTACCAGGACTCCCACTTCCCCACCTACACCATAGCCCGCGGGGAGGTGGAACTCAACTCCAAGTTCCTCCCCAAGAAGTACAAGTGTGCGTTGTGTCTCTACAAGACCAGCTACAAGTCTGATCTCAATAGACACATGCGGCGCCATGCTAACGGTCGAGAGCTTGTGTCGTGTAGAGACTGCCATGCCTCGTTCACGTCCCAGTCAACGCTTGTGTTCCATCAGATGAAGTGCCCGAACAGTCACGGCCCCACAGCGGGGAATGTGACGGTGAGCTGTGAGATCTGCCCCTATTCCACCTCCTACAAGTCGGACCTGACCCGTCACATGAAGAGTCACTACACCCACGAGTTTGCGTGTGATGTATGTCTTAAGCCTTTCAAAGTTCAGGCCTTGGTAGACCACCACAGACTGACGGTTCATAACATTGTGGTCGGTGATGTTGGTGATGTTGGGAGTGAAGGGACTTACGATTCGATGGTTCAACTCTATAACCCCTATTACCAACCGACGGCGGAGACAGCAGGGAAGTCGGATGTGATATTTCTCCAAGATACAAGCAACCCAGAACTCGCCTTCGATGATGCACAAGTTCTACGCCAGATTGAATACCGACCTGAAGATGTGCCATACGGTGATGGGGATGCCGTGACCGAAGACTGTGTGGTTATCGATGATGATGAACGGGAGGAAGCTAAACCCAACCCTGAGTTACTTGTCTCGGAGTATGTTGTTAACGATCGTCCAAAGAAACGAGATTTCATCCATTCTCGTCCAGTACCGAGTGTTGTCAAGGGCAACTCTCAGGGAAACATCCTGATTGGTCAGTCAGCGAAACAAACTGGAACAACAGGTCGACCGGAAACACCAGAAGTGGGTAACAAGTGTCAATTACAGAGACAGAGCCGAGTCAGAGAGCTTCTGTCTCTCAACAGTGGCAAGCAGGCGACCGTTACTGTGCCTATCAGGCAGTTCTGTTGTGAGAACTGTCATGGTGTATACGCCTCAGTCAAGGAGCTGATAAATCACAAGAAATCCTGCCTTGGATCCAAGACTCCACAAAGGGTTCACCGCTGTAGTCTATGCTCCTTCCAGACGTGCAATGTTTTGACGTTTCAGAAACACAGAAGCAAACATTCTGCAGTTTATAGATGTGAAGGCTGCGATCAAACCTTCTTGAAGGAAACCAGTCTTTTCAAACACAAACCCTTCTGTCGGAGAGCAGTGGCGAACTCCTTAGTTAGGATAAAGTTCGGGCAGCCTGGGTCATCAAGAAACAGAACTAAGTCCTCTGATGCTGTTCTTCAACAGAAACAACACAACATGAAGACCCTTGTTCCAGATCCGATGAAAGACCCGTCGCCAGGGGTAGTTCAACGCAAGCAAAAGCATGTCAACCAGTCACACAATGTGCCATCAAACCCAGGAGACATACTGACACATCCTCCTGATACCGGTCGTTTTGCGAGACTCATCTCGGACTTTGACGACTTTGCAAGGAGGCCTTATGCCTGTGCTCTTTGTTTCTACCGGTCGACAAGTGTTCATGTTCTTTCAAAACACGTGGAGAATCATCTCACTGGATGCAATGTTGACCCAATACCCGAGTCTGCAAGATTTCGCGTTCAGAAACAAAACTCAGAAGTGTCACATCCACAATTATTACAAACACACCCTGAACATTCAGTGGACGCTCAGAGGGAAGAGGTCAACAGAACCGCGCAAATTGACTGTAGACCCGCATCACTAGACGGAACTCAGTTCATTAGTAATCCTGTCCCAACCAGGATAAGACAGCAGGCAATGACACAGACAGGTTCTGTGAGACAATGGCGGGCTCGGGGACGGGTCCGGGTGCCTCGATTCACCAAGGCGTTTGCCTGCCGCGTGTGTAGCAAGCAGTTCACGGTGCGGAGTCTGATGCAGCGGCACCTCCAGAAGATGCACAAGGATGACATGGATACAGGAGACGACCAGTCTAAAGAATAACCTCGTCCACACCTAGGTCAGTTGCTGGACAGCCTTAGGGACAATGAGCTATTGTGTATGGACAGATAATTCTGCATCCTCGTATTTACACTTACAGTGAGTGAGTTTGGTTGAACGCCGCTTTTAACAGTATTCCAGTTATATCACGTCGTGTCGGCTAAATGTGGGAGGAAAGCCCGAAGTGATGCAGGTCTCAGACGTTTACCATACGGTGAAACCCACGATTACGGACTGTATGGTGCTGACAAACCTAGAAACATAATCGGGACGAACCGGGATTCGAACCTTCAATCATAGGTTTCTGGCGTACCCAAGGGACGCAACTCTGCACAGCGAATCGCGGCGCCTAAGACGACTGGGCCACCCGTGCCCCGACACTGAAGAATAACTGTATTGTTTTCTTGTGATGGCCTTGTCCTGTTGCAGATCTGTTCCTTCACACTTAGCATTGTGTTGGTCAAGTATCAGTAATTATTGTTGCATTAATAGAATTATTCGAATAGGTCTTCAGAAACCCATTCTTGTCGTAAAAGGCGACTATATGTTTGTCGGAAGAGGTGAACAACGGAATCAGGTGCTCAGGCTCGCTCACTTGGTTGATGCATGTCATCGTATCCCAATTGCGTGGATCGATGCTCATGATGTCAATCACTGGATTGAATGGTCCATACGCGGTTATTTCCAGACTGCCGTCATATAGCTGGAATATTGCTGAGCGCGGCGTTAAACAACAATCAACCAACAAACCATGATTGGAATTAATTGTCCGACCATCAGTCTTTACAAAAGACAAAAATTGTTCACTGAACATGCAGGATGTCCTGAAATTTTTTTACAAGCACAGTAATAAATAATTTCAATGTCCGGCCCAATTTCTGCATTCCCGCGAAGATATCCGGGGTAGAATAGATCCTCAGCAACCCATGCTTGCTGTAAATGGCGACAATGCTTGTCGTAACGGGCGACTAACGTGATCGGGTGATCAGGCTCGCTGACTTGGTTGATGCATGTCATCGATTCCAATTGCGTGGATCGATGTGCATGACGCCAATCACTGGATTGTCTGGTCTGGTATTATTTACAGACCGCCGTCATATACCTGGAATTTTGCTGAGTGCGGCGTTAAACAACCGCTCGGTTGCGGTTTGATAGACGATAATAAAAACAGGAAATTTCGTCTTATTATTGCTTTACATTGTGATCATTGTGTAGAGGAATGAATAGCGTGAAACAACCTGTGTGTGAGGTCAGTCGGTGTTCGACCCGTGAAGATCCGGGGTAGAATGGGTCTTTAGCAACCCATGCTTGCCGCAAAAGGCGATTATGCTTGTAAGAGGAGACTAACGGGATCAGATGGTCAGGCTCGCTGACTTGGTTGATGCCTGTCATCGTATCTCAGTTGCGTGGATCGATGCTCATGATATCAATCATTCGATTATTTACAGACCGCCGACATATAGCTGGAATATTGCTGAGTGCGCCGGTACACAACAGTGGATCGGGTGGTCAGGCTCGCTGGCTGATGCATGTCATCGTATCTCAATTGCGTGGATCGATGCTCATGATATCAATCACTGCCTTGTCTGGTCCAATCTCGATTATTTACAGACCGCCATTATATAGCTGGAATATTACTGAGTGCGGCGTTAAACAAACAAACAAAAAGCAAAAAGACATCTAAACAGAAGGGGTTGTTCGGGCTAAACATGACTGTTGTCTTCCCTTGACATCTAAACAGAAGGGGGTTGTTCGGGCTAAACATGATTGTTGTCTTCCCTTGACATCTAAACAGTCGGGGCTTGTTCGGGCTAAACATGACTGGTGTCTTTCCTTGACATCTAAACAGAAGGGGGTTGTTCGGGCTAAACATGACTGTTGTCTATCCTTGACATCTAAACAGAATAGGGTTGTTCGGGCTAAACATGACTGTTGTCTTCCCTTGACATCTAAACAGAATAGGGTTGTTCGGGCTAAACATGACTGTTGTCTATCCTTGACATCTACACAGAAGGGGGTTGTCAGGGCTAAACATGACTGTTTTGTTTCCTTGACATCTTAACAGTATGGGGTTGTTCGGGCTAAACATGACTGTTGTCTTTCCTTGACACCTGAACAGAATGAGGTGTGTCAGTGTGTGTGATTTTACGCCTCTTTTATCAATATTCCAGTAATATCACGAGGGTGGACACCAGGATTGGGTTTTACACATTCTGTCCATGTGGGGAATCGAACCCGGGTCTTCGACGTTACGGGCGAACGCTTTAACCAATGGGCTACCCCACGAACTGTGCTACAGACAAAAAATTGCCTGCCACAAAACTTTGCATTGTTGCAAGGTGTTATTTTAATAAATATTCAGTCTCATTGTTTTAAATACAAAACTATCTGGTTTTGTAGGTGTAGCTGAAAAAATATAATTTCGGTACACATTCCAGCTCCATTACAAAATAGCGCAGGTCAATGTTCTGTGCTTATTTATAGTTATGTTCACTTGGAGATAATAATAATAGGTCAGTACGCCTTCTCACGGTTCGCCCCGATTATGTTTCTAGGTTTTTTAGCACCATACTCGTGTTTTTCACCTAAGTGGTAAACGTCTGAGACCTGCATCACTTCGGGCTTTCCTCCCACATTAAGCTTACACGCCGCGATATAACTGGAATACTGTTACAAGCGGCGTTAAACCCAACTCACTCACTACTAGACACATCACGCTGAAACGTTGTAAAATAGTACAGATTTTGATCAAAGTGGCGTTAACCCACAGGTCACGTTAGTCAAGTGTAGTCCTTGGATGGGTAATCGTGTTCGGCTGCTTGACTCCTGAGAGTATCTTGGTTCTCGTTCCTCCCCCACACTGAAGCACACGTAGTACATGTGGTGTCTCTTTGGGCAAGTGTCTTTGTTCGAAATCACATCATATGAGCATGATATTCAGCATGGAAAAAGTGTCATACAAATGGACTATTATTATTATTGTTGTTGTTTTTATTATTATTATTTAAAGATTAAAATTTTAAAAAATGCAGCAAAGATGGTTTGGGTGATCCTGGCACAGTCAGGCTGATTAGGCTCATCATCAGCTCAGGGCCCTTGCCCCCTCTACACGCAGCCCAGACAGCGAATGGGACTTCTCCCAGGAAGCGCTGCCTAGTCAAACACACCAAGACCTTTTAGGAAAATGTGACTTCCCAACACTGCAGCCTTCTGCATCACCCAGGTTGTCAGAAGGGCTGTAATCCTTGTAGCAAACCCGGGTACTCTCCAAAAGGTCAGTCAGCAGATTGGGAGGTACCAAACCTAAGGCACCGAGAACAATGGGGAGTCGGACAACTTGGTATTTGAGATACAAGCGTGACATTTCGAAAGCAAGGTCCGCATATTTGCCATGTTTTTCCTGAATCTTGTCGATCACATTAGTGTCAAAAGGGACAGAAAATTATATAAATGATTTCATTGGATTTATATAAATAATATAAATGATTTCATTTGATTTATCAAAAAGAACCAGATCAGGTTTGTTGGCCTAGATGCGTCTGAGGCTGTAAACTGGCCTATTCCAAGGAATTTTGTATTTATCATTGTCCATGACACCCTCTACATATTCCGGGTCATACAATGGATGGACCTATGGCGAAGACGGTAATAAAATGATCGAGCCACTCCATCATGTCGCTTAAGATACTGTGTTTGTGCAAAGCTGGGCATCCACTGTTATTATAAATAAACTCACTCACCCGCTCAAATCGACCTGTGCAGAGTGGCATCCCCTAGGCGTGTCAGAATCCTATGAGCGTGTGTTCGAATTCGCGGTTCAGCCAGATTATGTTTCTTGTTTTGGACCTACATTAATTCTGACTTTCCTGCCCCCATCTAGCTGACAGGCCGTAACAGAAATACTGTTCAGAGCGGCGTTAATCAATACTCACTCACTCTCTTACGAATTTCACGATACTGTTTTTGCGGTGTCTTTATTTGAGTCATAGATACTTAATCGGAGTTAAAAGCACATAATTTAGTTAACGGACGCTCCTTCAAGGACTTGTGTATGCACATTTGTAATTGTTACTGAGTTCGATCACTGATCAGGATTCACCTTTAACCATACATAATGTTTTGTTTTTTCTTTCAAAATAAGCAGTGACTATTAAAAGCCCGACAAGGCGACAAGGCGGCATTTTGATGAAATATCAAAATATGCAGTAATCATTACAAGAGCGACAAGGCGACATTTTGATGAAATAACAAAAGATGCAGTAATCATTACAAGCGCGAATGTCACATCGACCCATTGTCGCGTTGTCACGCTTTTACAAAACGAAGCAAGTTTTCGTTTGTGCTCTTTAGTATCGAATTATGGTTTATTTTTAGCACAAACTGAATTGGACCAAATTTTTGGCCTTTGTTTTTTTAATACTGGTATATAAATGTATTCCGTAGTATTGCATAAGGATACGTAGTAATTAGGTCAACTGCCATTTGATTAGCTGTTTTTCAATGATTTTAAACCCTGAAACAGACAATGATATATATTATAAATCATAGTCTGTTTCAGGGTTTATATATATATGATCAGTGTGTGTCTGTGTGTGTCTGTGTTCTATTCTTGTAATGATTTTCCAAAGCTCATCTTTCTTTTGGCGACCGATTGTACAGCGATCACTGATGATCAGTGATGGCACCAGGTGTTCATGAAAAGTGTAAGCATATCCTGTCTTTAAAACATGCAGTTGATAGTTTCTAGGGCCTCGTAACGCATATTGTGTCTCTTTGTCGCGCTTTGAATAATCTTTTTAATCTATTTTAATCTATTATCTAATAATCCATTTCACCAAATGGCGACGGTGTGACTGAACTGAACGGAACGGAACTTTATTACTCTCAGACTGCAAACGGCAGCATAAGAGGTAAAGTATATATACAATATTATATGTACAAGGTATATTCAGTATAAACATTGATGTTGAACTTGGGTTTGTAACACACATTAAATCAAAAAAGAGAAAGAAAAGATGAGGTACAAGTTAAACAGAAAGGATTGTAAGCTACTAACATGAAATAAACATACTTACTTTCTAAAGGCAGACATATAATCTTTCAGAAAATAGAGAGTATCCTTACTGTTCCTACTTTATGCTTATAAAAAGAATATTCGTTTTATACATGTTTGGTTTTGTGTAAGAATGTTTATGAATTAGCTATTTCCTATCAGTTTCAAAGTTGGGACAAACAAAGAGATGATGAAATTCATCACCGACATAGTTCAGGTTACATTAATTACACTTTCTTTCAAAAAATGGGATTTCTTTCGATCTACCTGTCTCAGTTGGAAGATAATGATGTGAGGTTCTGAATGTAAGCAATATTTTTCTGTTATTCTCTTGCAGAATACTTAGGTACGATTCGAAATAAAGATAGAGTTTTTTAACAATGTTATAAATAATTCCTTTTGAATAGTTTTCTTTTGTTGATACCCATGTTTGCTGATAAATATCATTCAATTTAGTTTTGATGATAATTTTTAGCCTATGGATACTTTTGAATTTCTGTAATGTCCAAATGAAGCTTAACGCAAGTTCATCAAATGTTCTCTTAATCCAGATTATCCATTTATGGTCATGTGATTCAAAGAAGTGGTCATTAAAATCAGTTTGTAAATAAACAGAGATAGTTTTGACGATTTTCACGTTAGAAGTTTTTTCGACATTTTAGAAGTTCAGAAAGGTGATACAAAGTAAAAAATGTCGCGTTGTCGCATTGTCGACTTTTGGTAAAATAAGAAAAAATGTTCAAAGCGCGACAACGCGACAACGCGACAATGCGACAAATGGCCAGAATGTGGTGTTGTCGCATTGTCGCGCTTTAGTTAATTTCGACACTTTTTGCTTGTTTTTGCGAGGGTGACAATGCGACAACTCGACAATATGCCTTCTAGGATTCCATACAAGACAGGGAACCTGACCACCTGATCCTGTTAGTCGCCTCTTACGGCAAGCATGGGTTGATGGAGACCCATTCTATCCAGCATCTTACGGGTCCATAACTATACTCAATCAAACGGGCGTTACATGACACATTAAACATTTGCTTCATGTGATTGCTGTCTGTTTGTTTAAGGCCTCATCTCAGCACAATTCCAACAATTGGGGTCGGGCAGCCTAGTGGTTAAAGCGTTCGCTCGTCATGCCGAAGATCCGGGTTCGAATCCCAGCGTGGTTCAATGTGTGAAGCCCATTTCTGGTGTCCCCTGCCGTGATATTTCTGGAATATTGCTAAAAGCGGCATAAAACCAGATTCACCCAATCACTCACTCCAACAATTGGAAGGTTGTGTATATAAAGGAATCTGAAACTGACAACCAGTGATCATTATGATGAGCAATGTTCACGCTGTTTGGATTTGACAATACACAGTCGGCTAAGTCACCAAGCCGACCCATTGTGCCGATTTCTGCGACCACCAGTTTAAGGTAAGGTAAGGTGAGGTGAGGTGAGGTGAGGTGAGGTGTGTGTGTGTGTGTGTGTGTGAGAGAGAGGCTGGTTGTACTAATCCGGACTAATGCCGATGTTATGGTGCTAGCCCACTGAGATACCATGCCGCAGTTTAACATGAATACCCCAATCAGACGCAATATACTGACTCCGAGCTAAAACCCCTTAATGTCGAGCGCCAGGCAGGGTAACAACAAGTACCACCTTTTAACGTCTTTTAGTATGACGCGGCGGGGGATCGAACCTCTGACCTCCGCTCTCCGGGCGGACACTCTACCACTAGACCACGGAGGCGGTCGGGTCCTAGTTTGAAATTCTGCCTCGTTTCAAATTCTCTGTGAGTGTCATCAGTACCTGTCACTCAGTCATACCTATTAGGTACCGTTTCCTCTTGCTGAAGGGCGGTCAGGTAGCCTAGTGGTTAAAGCGTTCGCTCGTCACGCTGAAGACCCGGGTTTCATTCAAGACATGGGTTCAATATGTGAAGCCCATTTCTGGTGTCCCCCGCCGTGCTTTTGCTGGAATATTGCTAAAAGCGGCGTAAAACCATACTCACTCATTCACTCTCCTTACTGAAACCTTATTTAACAAGGACAGCAATAATCAAGGTATTTATCAAATATTTGTTGTTTAATAAATGCTGTGAAATGATTGCATACGGTGATTTTGTTGTTGACCAGAACAGAAGCTATTAAAAAAGTATAAAATAGCTGCATGTTATATAGTTTGTTCTGATATTTCCAATATCAACGAAAATACACACGAGCTAACCTTGTGCGCATATTATACACTATGTATATGTTGGGGAGAATACTCTCACATTTTCGGGAAATATTATTTCGACCTTTCAGTTCCCCCTAGGTAATCCAATACTAGCCTATCACCACGTTATTTACGTTATAAACACACATCCGGGAACTACTGATGGTAATCACGATATTTTCAGAAATAATATTTCTATTCTTCATTGCAGTTCTTTCACGGAGACCCGGATACGTTATGCACGGCTGTGTTTGCCGCGATTGGCAGTTCATATATCCCATTATGTACTGTCAAAAACAAGTCGGGGATATTAAGGAATAAAAACGATTAAAGAGGTGGTGATTTATGGTTGAAAGGAAGGACAAGATGTAAGATTACAATTAATATATCATGTTCACGGTGTATTGTAAGGGTGCAAGTAACCAAGAGGTGGGCACGGGCGGGCACAGGTGGGCACAGGTGGAAACGGGCGGGCACAGGTGACCACAGGCGGACACAGGTGGGAACAGGCGGGCACAGGTGAACACAGGTGGGAACAGGAGTGCACAGGTGGGCACAGACAGGAACAGGTGGGCACAGGTGGGCACAGACAGGAACAGGTGGGAATAGGAGCGCACAGATGGGCACAGACAGGAACAGGTGGGAACAGGAGTGCACAGGTGGGCACAGACAGGAACAGGTGGGCACAGACAGGAACAGGCGGGCACAGACAGGAACAGGTGGGAATAGGAGCGCACAGGTGGGCACAGACAGGAACAGGTGGGCACAGAAAGGAACAGGTGGGCACAGGTGGGCACAGACAGGAACAGGTGTGAATAGGAGCGCACAGGTGGGCACATACAGGAACAGGTGGGCACAGACAGGAACAGGCGGGCACAGGCGGGCACAGACAGGAACAGGTTGGCACAGGTGGGCACAGACAGGAACAGGTGGGAACAGGAGTGCACAGGCGGGGACAGACAGGAACAGGTGGGCACAGACAGGAACAGGTGGGCACAGGCGGGCACAGACAGGAACAGGTGGGAACAGGAGCGCACAGGTGGGCACAGACAGGAACAGGTGGGCACAGGCGGGCACAGACAGGAACAGGTGGGCACAGGCGGGCACAGACAGGAACAGGTGGGCACAGAAAGGAACAGGTGGGCACAGGTGGGCACAGACAGGAACTGGTGGGCACAGGCGGGCACAGACAGGAACAGGTGGGCACAGAAAGGAACAGGTGGGCACAGGTGGGCACAGACAGGAACAGGTGGGCACAGGCGGGCACAGACAGGAACAGGTGGGAACAGGAGTGCACAGGCGGGCACAGACAGGAACAGGTGGGCACAGGAGTGCACAGGCGGGCACAGACAGGAACAGGGGGGAACAGGAGTGCACAGGCGGGCACAGACAGGAACAGGTGGGAACAGGAGTGCACAGGTGGGCACAGACAGGAACAGGTGGGCACAGACGGGAACAGGTGGGCACATGCGGGCACAGACAGGAACAGGTGGGCACAGGAGTGCACAGGTCGGCACAGACAGGAACAGGTGGGAACAGGCGGGCACAGATAGGAACAGGTGGGAATAGGAGTGCACAGGTGGGCACAGACAGGAACAGGTGGGCACAGACAGGAACAGGCGGGCACAGACAGGAACAGGTGGGCACAGAAAGGAACAGGTGGGCACAGGTGGGCACAGACAGGAACAGGTGGGCACAGGCGGGCACAGACAGGAACAGGTGGGAACAGGAGTGCACAGGCGGGCACAGACAGGAACAGGTGGGCACAGGTGTGCACAGGCGGGCACAGACAGGAACAGGGGGGAACAGGAGTGCACAGGCGGGCACAGACAGGAACAGGTGGGAACAGGAGTGCACAGGTGGGCACAGACAGGAACAGGTGGGCACAGACGGGAACAGGTGGGCACATGCGGGCACAGACAGGAACAGGTGGGCACAGGAGTGCACAGGTCGGCACAGACAGGAACAGGTGGGAACAGGCGGGCACAGATAGGAACAGGTGGGAATAGGAGCGCACAGGTGGGCACAGACAGGAACAGGTGGGCACAGGCGGGCACAGACAGGAACAGGTGGGCACAGAAAGGAACAGGTGGGCACAGGTGGGCACAGACAGGAACAGGTGGGCACAGGCGGGCACAGACAGGAACAGGTGGGAACAGGAGTGCACAGGTGGGCACAGACAGGAACAGGTGGGCACAGGCGGGCACAGACAGGAACAGGTGGGCACAGAAAGGAACAGGTGGGCACAGGTGGGCACAGACAGGAACAGGTGGGCACAGGCGGGCACAGACAGGAACAGGTGGGAACAGGAGTGCACAGGTGGGCACAGACAGGAACAGGTGGGCACAGACGGGAACAGGTGGGCACAGGCGGGCACAGACAGGAACAGGTGGGCACAGGCAGGAACAGGTGGGAACAGGAGTGCACAGGTCGGCACAGACAGGAACAGGTGGGAACAGGAGTGCACAGGTGGGCACAGACAGGAACAGGTGGGCACAGGCGGGCACAGACAGGAACAGGTGGGAACAGGAGTGCACAGGTGGGCACAGACAGGAACAGGTGGGCACAGACGGGAACAGGTGGGCACAGGCGGGCACAGACAGGAACAGGTGGGCACAGGAGTGCACAGGTCGGCACAGACAGGAACAGGTGGGAACAGGCGGGCACAGATAGGAACAGGTGGGAATAGGAGCGCACAGGTGGGCACAGACAGGAACAGGTGGGCACAGGCGGGCACAGACAGGAACAGGTGGGCACAGAAAGGAACAGGTGGGCACAGGTGGGCACAGACAGGAACAGGTGGGCACAGGCGGGCACAGACAGGAACAGGTGGGAACAGGAGTGCACAGGTGGGCACAGACAGGAACAGGTGGGCACAGACGGGAACAGGTGGGCACAGGCGGGCACAGACAGGAACAGGTGGGCACAGGCGGGCACAGACAGGAACAGGTGGGAACAGGAGTGCACAGGTGGGCACAGACAGGAACAGGTGGGAACAGGAGTGCACAGGTGGGCACAGACAGGAACAGGTGGGCACAGGCGGGCACAGACAGGAACAGGTGGGAACAGGAGTGCACAGGTGGGCACAGACAGGAACAGGTGGGCACAGGCGGGCACAGACAGGAACAGGTGGGCACAGACAGGAACAGGTGGGCACAGGCGGGCACAGACAGGAACAGGTGGGAACAGGAGTGCACAGGTGGGCACAGACAGGAACAGGTGGGCACAGACGGGAACAGGTGGGCACAGGCGGGCACAGACAGGAACAGGTGGGCACAGGAGTGCACAGGTGGACAAGAGCCCCACCTTGGTTGCCTCACCTTTTCGGACATACCCTTTTCGACCAAACACAAAATGGCCTGGCGTGCCCGTGCGCGAAATACGGATATGTCGGAAAGCACACCTTAATTCCTAATGTAAGTAAGTCTTGGAAGACAAGCCATGGGCTATCATGGCTCACAGGCGGCACGCTAGACTAACATCTTGTCTCTGAAATGAACATATCGTACAGAAAAAACAACAACAGTATCTTAAAAAACAGTTAATAAAAAGGAGCCCAGAGACACTCTTCATATTCATTTGCTGTAGAAATCTAGACTTGAATGGGCTGCTTTTGATATATTAGTATCAGGGTCTGCAAGACAGACTAAAGGCACACCTATTGGCGCCAGTATGTTGTCTCCGTAGTTTAATTCAGTGACCCTTCCATGGGCAAAAGGCAATAGCGTTCTGGCAACCATTGTGATCTCGCCCCATTATCATTACAGTTCTACCCCCAAATCTGGCATGTTGTCTTACGTTCACGTTAGCATTGTTGTCTTGCTGGAATATGTCAATTTGTCCACAGTGCTACAACACGTGGGAGCCGAGCATCCAGACACCTTCTTATCGCCAAGTCAGTAACATGGCGCAAATGAACAATGATTTGATTGTTGTTTGAGCTCGAATTCTTTTAGCCTGATTCTGATTAATCGACCCCGGACCTGTGTTGTTGACCTTGGAAACCCCGTGCGGGGCCGATCATTAAAATTCTGTTGGAAACTGTTCCAAAGTCTGCAAATCACAGACTGAGACACATTCAGTATATTGGCTACTTCTCGCGGAGTTCTACCAGTTTGCTGCTTACCAATAGCCCTGAGGCGTTCATCATGTTGTAGACAAGGCTTTCCCAATCTGATCACAGATACTACATTAAAGCAAGAGAAGACAGCTTACTTGTTACTGTGGATAATGAAAATCAACAATAATAATGGTTCAGGGTGATTTGACGACCTTTCACTGAAGTGTCGAAAAGCAAGAAGTGACACCGACCTACGTACGCTTAGGAATGGTCCACGTGGAATTTTACGGGTGTGTCCGGGCGTTTGGTTTTGGTTGGAAACCGTTCTATCTCTTGACAGTCATTTTCAAAGCTGATTGTTCTTCCGACGACCCATCATAACATTCATACTTCGTGATCACCTACTATTTTTGTTTAACGATATTTATTTCCACTTGGTACAGTGGAAGGGGATTGATAAACAGGCAGAGCCTATATAAATATTTCTCACTATCAAAGTTCGAACAAGCAGCAGTAGTATTAATGTTATACAGTAGTATAAACTTGATATTAAGTCACATGTGGTACATCAAAGGTAAAACAGTTGTTAGTGAGATTTATATAAGAGTGCATGTTTAGTCGCCTTTTAGGGCAAGCATGGGTTGCTAAAGACCTATCCTACCCGGATTTTCACAGGCCTTGTCCTATTTGTAAGAAGGTTTTACAGATTTTCTCTATACTCTCAAATCCCCAAAATGTCAGATGCATACAAAAGAATCGGACTACTCTGACAATCAAATAACTCAAAGAACACGTTGGAGGCAGTAATAGATATGTTTCTTGTTGTAGTAAGTAACGCATATCTACTTAGGCTTAACTTACAGGCGAAGACTAATCCTAGATGTCTATTAACAACCTCTACAACTTGTCCTATATAGTACCATACTTCTTTAACTGATACGTTTCCTCCTCTTTTACAAACAACATTTGATTTGTGCAAGTTGACAGTCATTCCCCACCCATCTGCATATGAATCTAGAATAAAGAAAGAGAATATACATTAACCTCATTATGCAAAACACCCCAGGACGGGCTGACTCATATGACAAATGACAGCAGTGATTGTTTTCCTGTCATATTGTTGTTGTAGCTGTAAAGTCCCTGTTTCCCGGATGAGGTTATCAACGTGTCGTGTCTTCATCAGTGGCATCACAAGAGCATATTTAGACATTTTTGCTTACCAAGCTACAGTTACAGATTAAATAAGTCTTATTTGATATAGAAATTCATAGGCACATATTCGTCAATTTTGAAAGGAAACTTCAGTATTTTTATTTACATTTTGCGCTGTGACTATTACTGAATATTGTTGAAAGCGGCGTAAAACCAATCTCTCCTACATTATATTTACGTTTAAATTACATTACATGTAAAATTTTTTATAAATACCCGGAAAAATATGCGTGAAGACATTCGAGTAGACAGACCAAACTATGTTCGAGTAAACTATGGAGTACCTTTACGTGTAGACATTAAAGTTGACGATGTTGTTCGAGTAATCCTAAGAATAGACATTCGAGTAAACATACGGATATATATTCGAGTACACATATGAATAGACATTCGAGTGCACATACGAATAGACATTCGAGTGCACATACGAATAGACATTCGAGTACACATACGTATATAGATTCGAGTACACATATGCATAGACATTCGAGTGCACATACGAATAGACATTCGAGTGCAGATACGAATAGACATTCGAGTACACATACGGATAGACATTTGAGTACACATACGAATAGACATTCGAGTGCAGATACGAATAGACATTCGAGTACACATACAGATATACATTTGAGTACACATACGAATAGACAGACATTCGAGTACACATACAGATAGACATTTGAGTACACATACGAATAGACAGACATTCGAGTACACATACAGATAGACATTTGAGTACACATACGAATAGACAGACATTCGAGTACACATACAGATAGACATTTGAGTACACATACGAATAGACAGACATTCGAGTACACATACAGATAGACATTTGAGTACACATACGAATAGACAGACATTTGAGTACACATACAGATAGACATTTGAGTACACATACAGATATACATTCGAGTACACATACGAATAAACATTCGAGTACACATACGAATAAACATTCGAGTACACATACGAATAGGCAGACATTCGGGTACACATACAGATTTGAATACACATATGAATAGACATTCGATTTCACATACGGATAGACACTCGAGTACACATACGGATAGATATTTGAGTACACATACGAATAGACAGACATTCGAGTACACATACGAATAGTCATTTGAGTACAGATACGAATAGCCATTCGAGTACACATAGGGGTAGACATTCGAGTACACATACGGATAGACATTCGAGTACACATACGGATAGACACTCGAGTACACATACGGATAGATATTTGAGTACATATACGGATAGACATTCGAGTACACATACGGATAGACAGACATTCGAGTACACATACGAATAGACATACATTCGAGTACACATACGGATATACACTCGAGTACACATACGAATAAACATTCGAGTACACATACGAATAGACATTCGAGTACACATACAGATTTCAGTACACATACGGATAGACATTTGAGTACACATACGGATAGACACTCGAGTACACATACGAATAAACATTCGAGTACACATACGAATAGACAGACATTCGAGTACACATACAGATAGACATTTGAGTACACATACGAATAGACATTCCAGTACACATACGAATAGACATTCGAGTACACATACGGATAGACATTCGAGTAAACATACGGATAGACACTCGAGTACACATACGGATAGATATTTGAGTACATATACGGATAGACATTTGAGTACACATACGAATAGACAGACATTCGAGTACACATAAAGATAGACATTTTAGTACACATGCGAATAGACATTTGAGTACACATAAAGATAGACATTTTAGTACATATGCGAATAGACATTTGAGTACACATACGGATAGACATTTGAGTACACATACGGATATACACTCGAGTATACATACAGATAAACATTCGAGTACACATACGAATAGAGAGACATTCGAGTACACATACAGATAGACATTTGAGTACACATACGAATAGACATTCGAGTACACATACGGATAGACATTTGAGTACACATACAGATAGAAACTCGAGTACACATACGAATAGACATTCGAGTGCACATACGGATAGACATTCGAGTACACATACGAATAGGCAGACATTCGGGTACACATACAGATTTGAATACACATATGAATAGACATTCGAGTACACATACGGATAGACACTCCAGTACACATACGGATAGATATTTGAGTGCATATACGGATAGACATTCGAGTACACATACGAATAGACAGACATTCGAGTACACATACAAATAGTCATTTGAGTACAGATGAGAATAGCCATTCGAGTACACATAGGGGTAGACATTCGAGTACAAATACGGATAGACATTCGAGTACACATACGGATAGACACTCGAGTACACATACGGATAGATATTTGAGTACACATACGAATAGACATTCGGGTACACATACCGATAGACAGACATTCGAGTACACATACGAATAGACATACATTCGAGTACACATACGGATATACACTCGAGTACACATACGAATAAACATTCGAGTACACATACGAATAGACATTCGAGTACACATACGGATAGACAGACATCCGGGTCCACATACAGATTTGAGTACGAATACGGATAGACATTTGAGTACACATACGGATAGACACTCGAGTACACATACGAATAAACATTCGAGTACACATACGAATAGTCAGACATTCGAGTACACATACAGATAGACATTCGAGTACACATAAAGATAGACATTTTAGTACACATGCGAATAGACATTTTAGTACACATAAAGATAGACATTTTAGTACACATGCGAATAGATATTTGAGTACACATACGGATAGACATTTGAGTACACATACGGATAGACACTCGAGTACACATACAGATAAACATTCGAGTACACATACGAATAGAGAGACATTCGAGTACACATACAGATAGACATTTGAGTACACATACGAATAGACATTCGAGTACACATACGGATAGACATTCGAGTACACATACAGATAGAAACTCGAGTACACATACGAATAGACATTCGAGTGCACATACGGATAGACATTCGAGTGCACATACGAATAGACATTC